TTTTTACGTATGTGTTTTATTTTAATAAATAATAAAAAAAAAAAAAAAGGGTGGGTGGGGGGGAGAGAGAGAGAGGGAGAGAGAGAGAGAGAGAGAGAGAGAGTTTTTTCTTTTCTAACAATGCAGCAGAACAGTCACCTGCTTCCAAGTCTACTGCATGACTGAAGATCAAAAGGCAGAGAGACAGGATTGCTATGCTAAAACATTTACTGCAACGGCTCAGGTCAAAAATGAGGCCATAGTCTGGCAACACAACTGCAGTCCTCCTTCCCTCTTGCATGCAGATTTCCTCCTCCCTTCCTGCTTTTTGTTAACTGTACAGTTTGCCAGGATGTCCAAATTGGCAAAGTGGTGCCTTCCTCCTTTTCCTTATAATTTACAAAGACACTAACAAAGTTTGCCAAATTAGATGTCACAAAAAACTCTGGTAATGATTCAGCATTATGTTCAAATGAAGGCCATGAATGGTCCCCAGTAGTTTTCTCCCATACATGGAAGGCTCTTTCATCTTTTTAAAGCTTCTCTGAATCAAAGGGAGGAGGTGATTTGGGCTAATTCCCTCTTTCCCTGGAGCATCCCTAAAGTAACTCCAAAGGAACAATGTGACAAGTGACACTTGAGACTTTAAAATGAAATTGGTGAACTCATCACTTCCTCTCACAGAAACTGTAGATCACTCTGGGCATCACAGTAGCGTACTGGATATATAGAGGGAAAAAAATCTGCTGGGTAAGATACCTGTTCTTCAATGTGAGTGGGTGGAACCTGCAGCTAACAGCTGCATTTGGTCTCCATTTGCAGCCCCCAAATTTCACTTCCAAAGGAAAATGGCTGATTTTTGTTCTATGAATTTTCAGCTTTGTTTTTTTTTTTTTTTAAATAAGGATAAGAATTGGAGCAGTTTGCCCTCTAAAAACCTCCTTCATATCCCAACCCTTGAAACTCTGGGGGAAAAAAAAGCCCCCAAATTTTACTTTCAGTAATGTCTCTATGTTATTATATGGCCTTCTGGAAAGGTGAGTTACCTATCCCTCTTTTAATGGATCACATACAGATAGATTGATGAGAATATCCACAGAAGGCCTACTGTACTACACTATACTACACCATACTAAGCAGTGAAAAGTACACAGTTGTGAGGGTCTCTTGTCTTTGTGTTTTAAATAATTATATTGAATGGTATTTGTGTTTCTTTCAATTTGCTTTTAAAACTTCACTTGCATCTCAGGCAAGGTCATCTCTATCCAGATGCTTCACTGTAGAATATTTTTCAAGTGCATTCACAACAGCTGCCAACGTTATCAGTCTCACAATGCACTTTATAATGCTCCATTTGAACAGCAGGCTGTTTCCACCATATCTGTCATAGCAATATGTTATCAATAACATATGAAAACCATATTTATGGAAACTGAAGGGGAAAAACCATACCATTGTAACAAACTTTATCTGTTGTCAAGTTTAACAACTTATGATACATGAAATACTTATGTGCCCAAGATGGCCCATTAATTAAAGCAAAATCAGATGTTAATATTCATTAATGCCACTTCAGAGCCATTCAGTTTAAGGAAATTAACAAAGTAATCCTTCTAACCAGTAGAAATGTTTCCGCCTTGGAGATCTTGGAAACCAACCACCTATGCCCAAATCCTTTGTATTCTCCTCTTTGTGCTCATTAGTGGGGTGGGATTTAGGGGTAGGAAGGAAGCAGAGTGGGGAGGAAGCTCCAAGTTAATAACAGAACAGGATAGCCAGTTTGTTTGCATGCATGTCAAAAGTTATAACCACCATTTTCTCCCTCCACCAAACGATTCTGAGGATGTTAGGATATTTTTTCTGTGAAAGCTGGGGGTTTATAGAATTAAATTCTATGATTTTATAATGCTACTTTTTAGGAATGGGGTTCAATTAAAGTTTGGATCATTTTAAGTAACATGAGCCTACTTCTGTACATATTTGTTTCTTTCTTGTCTATTGCAAGTAGGAAAGATCTGCACTGGTTTCCACTCACCATGATGACTTATCATTTGTCCCGCAGCCTCTATGCTGACATTCTGAAGGTAGTTATGACAGCGTTCCTTGTGTTCCTCCAAAGAACTGCGCTGTTTGTAGCTTCGTCCACAGTAGTTACATTTATGAGGTTTACCCACTGTGGGAAAAAAAGACTTTATTATGTTAAATCAGTATTGCTGACATCATTACCAAAGGTCACTTGATATTCTAATTAAAATCAAACAGAAAAATACCTACAAACTGATTTTATTCTGTAATCTTCATCCATTTCCCCTTTTTCTATTTCACTGCACTACTATGAAAGAGATTCATACAGTTCCTGAAAATATTACTTTCAAATTATTTCTAAAATCGATTGCATTCATGCAGGCAGACACAGAGTGGTCAAACCAAGTGCATGTGCAGCTTAAACACATTTTTGTTTGCAGCAAAACAGAGATGAACTTGAGATTTCAAGATACTATAGGCAAGAAAGATCTGGTGATACTTAAAAGTGTGGTCAATATTTTCTAACATGGATCTGAATAGCCCAAGCAAAAAACATGTTTCTAGTGGTTTTGCCAAACAAAGTAGAAACAGGAATGAATGCCAAGCACATTAATTGTAAGGCTGTGGTGTTAAACTAGTATTCTTATGGCTTCAGTTATTGCATTGGAGCACACAGCAACTGTAGATAGTGTTTACGTCTCATATGGACTAGAAACTAAAGACATAAAATGTTGATGTGCTTGCTGGTAGGTGGGCAGAAACTGTATAATCAAATGTGTAGCAAAGCCATATCATTTGTGTGATCAGTCTAGGACTGTCAACTTGTTCAGCAATTTTTTCTATGGAGGAGGAAGCAGTATTTGTCCCTCCCATTTGGGATGTATATGTATTTAGAAATCTATGAATTGCTTGGAGGGAGAGAGGGAAGCCCACTGAAAATGTAACAGAACAGCATTCTTTCCTCTTATCCTCATCCTCATTGGGGAGGAAATAGGGAAGCAAGACACTACTTAGCAAGCCAGTCAGCTTATTCCAAATATGCACAGGGTAGAAGTATTCAGCTCTTTGCATTCTAAGTAGAAGTAATGAAGAGAATGGTATGACTTCTAAAACTGATTGGAACATAGCTAAAGCTTTGGGAGAATAGAATCCAGCATTGCTGACTCTTTCAAAACTCCACCCAGAATGATCCTAGTCCAAGCCAGCCAGCAGCTTCCAGATATTTGGGTGGCCAAGCACATCCGTGCAACCCCTGTTGGACAAAGAAAGAGCACTCTGCCACATTTGAATAGATCGGGATTTTAAAAATTCCCTTCTCTGAAACCGTTTATGCATTTTTCCTCATCTGGAAAATTAGCAATTTCTCTTGCCTAAGTCACCTTCTGCACCTAAGGTTGCATATTAGGGCAAGGCATTCTAGAATAATGTTTTGCATGTTGTTGTTTTTTGTAATTTTGGGGGGAGAAGAGATACATCACATCTGAAGCAGAAAAATGCATAACCATTAGGTCCATAAAACTGAAGTTTTCAAAAATAGGATGTGAATGTTGAATTCAGCAGGTAAATTATGAAAGATAAAAAATATCAGAAAGTCCATGAAAGTCCATGATCAGTACTAAAGAGATATGTGGTAAAAGAAGCATCATTGATGGAACAATACTTTATGAATCTTTTGACATGACTTTTTCACTTTAGAAATCACAGTGTAACAGAATCCTATGAGGCCACTGAGTCCCACCCTTTGCTCAGTGCAGGAAATCCAAATCAAAGCATTTGAGACCGTAGGTTGTTTAGCCTCTGCTTAGACACATCCAGTGAAGAGGAGCCACCCAACTCTCTTGGCAATTGGTTCCACTGTCAAACTGCCCTTATTGTTAGGAAGTGTTCTGTCACATTCAGTTGGAAGTAATCTTGCATTATTTGCAGTCAGTCCTGTGCTCAAGGCTGTACCCTGACTTTCTTCTATGTGATAACCTTTCAATCAATTATTTCAAGATATTTTTCATAAACAAATCTTCATTTTAATTTATGATAAAGATACTTATCCATCAGGGTAGAACCTCAATGTGCATTTTATCTGCCATACTAAAAAGAAAAGCATTAAAAGGAGTAATGCAGAAATATTTAATATTAAACAAATCAACAAATGGCTTTTTGTTAAGTATATATCTATTTTACACACTGTACTTACCATAAATTGTTTTATAAATGGAAAGAATTAAAATATAGAGTTGAATCCAAATTAAGTTATATCCAAATGAATAGGACCTAAATTAATCATAATTAAGTTAAACACATTTCCAGTAGATCTACTCTACGTTTGACTAAGACTGGACCCAATCTGAACCATACACTGGAAACAAATTATTGTTCTTGCTTCATTTATCAATACAAAATAGAGCAATTCCTGTTCCAGATTCTTTTAGAGTGTTTTCTTTAAATAGTTTAAAAGATTGGAATGTATATTTGTTGCTTCCTAAAAGAATTGGCTGTAAAATCAAAGTACTGAGGGAATTCAGACATTAAAGCTATACAAACAAAAACAGTATGCAAGTGTGATAAAAACAAAGCTAAAGGATCAGAGAAAATTTAAGACAAAAACTCTAAAAGTAAACATTCATAATTCTCATAATTTCTATTGTAATAAAATGGCCACTTGATGGCTTCACTGTATACTAGTTGCAACATGGGAGATCTATGAAATCATTTGGTCTGCAATGTTTCAAACAGTGAAAATGACCACTTATTCTTCAAAAGCTTATATGATACATATAGTCAGGTTACCAGTCTTAGTCATACCAGTGCCACAAGCACATTCCCTGCTAATGATAGAGTCAATACTATGGTCAATACTAGAGTCAATACTTTTACCCCAAGTACGCTCATGCTATTCTATGCAAACTAGGAACTCTAATCTAGAGAGTACTTTACAATCCAGCATACTCTGACTTGCATCTCACCAACTCAAAAGTCCATGCACTGTACTGACACACTCAGAATACTTCAAAAGCTTTGTAACAAAAACAGGAACGGTGTTTTTTCAATCCTGAAGTACTGAGCAGGTTACAGGTTAGTTACTATACCTATTTTATCTGCACAACAATTTGAATATGAAATATCTTTAAAAACAACAAAAATCAAGCACAATATGAGCAGAATTGGCATCTGTGTTGGCTTCTTTGGATAGATACAATTGCACAGCATGATTGATCATCACCTTGCTTCTCTTCTTTTTGCAAGGTAAATATGTCCAGTTCTTTTAATTGTTGCTCATAGGAACAACTTCCAGCCCTCTTATCACCTTGATATTTATTTATTAGATTTATATCCAGTGGCATACTGCTAAATGTTTAAGAACCAGCTCCCCATTCCTGATCTAGTATCTTAACCACTACATTTCTCCAGCTTACTCTTCCTCTGAACCTACTTCAGCCTCTCCATGTCCATTTTAAGTGTGGCAACCAGAATGGACACACCTTTTCTAATGTGGACTGAGTATATGTGGAAGTATTATGTCCCGTGATCTTGATGCTCTGTTTCTGTTAATGCAGTGCAAGACTATCCACTGGCATTTTGAGTGGCTGTGTTACATTGCTTGCAGAGTCAGCTGGTTCTTCAGGAGTACTGTAATCCTTGATCCTTCTCTCAAGCCAGGCCTCCCTAACCCTATACCTATAACTTTTGATTTTCCCACCCAGATGCAAGATCTTACACTTATCACAGCTGAATATCAACCTGTTGAATTTGGCTGAGTGTTCAAGACTGTCAAAATAATTTGGAATTATTATTTTGATCTCAATTATGAAATAGATCTCAATTCCAAAGCTTGTACTATATAAAAATTTGAAAATACTCTTGCATTCCAGTCAATATAAAAATGTTGAAGAGACCTTGGCTGAGAACATAGCTCTGTGGGATTCCACTCACTACTTCCCTCCAGGATGATGGTAGTTCCTGATCAACTTTTTTGGGTTCAGTATTCTCCAATAAAAAAGTACATATGGTACCAGGAAATATTGAAGAATAGGCTAAAGAGACAGAACTGAAGATTAAAGTTGATAAAAACATAGTCAGAGAATACTTCTTTATTGAATGAGTATCCAGGATGAAACAAAATTGAAAGGAACTAACTAGTTGTCCAGCCAATCACTTATTCTTCTTGAGACATTCTGGAGAACTAGTGAAGTCTGAAGGACAACAAATATTGTCCTTATCTACAAAAAGGGAAAAAGTCAGTACGAAACTGATATCTGAGAAGCAGATTATAAAGAGATCAATCTATAAGGAACCCAGAAAAAATGCAGTAACTATCAGATATCAGAATATACTTGTTAACAAAGCTTGCCAAAGAAATCTATTTTTTCCTTCCCATCAGCTAACTTCCTTTAGCAGATTGTAGGAATTCTGTAGACATCACATATCTTAACTTTAGCAAAACTGGAATACTTCATGACAGCTAATTAGGTAAGAGTGGGAAGTAAGGCTGTAGAACACTTTGAGTTCAAAGGCAAATGTGCTTTGTAATGTAGGTTCATGTAGCACCTTCTGCTATTCCTTAAAGTAGCTGTATCTTTCCCCCTAAATTAGCATGGCTGCCCTCTGCACCCCAAATGACAATTACATAAAAATTGGGAAGGATACCTGTAGAATTCAAAACAATCTTGATGGGTTAGAAAAAATGAACTAAAAGTAACAGTATGAAATTTAACAGAGTCAGGTGAAATGTTCTGTACCTAGGAAACTAAAATCCAATGCAAAGGTAGAGGATGGTACTTGTGAAAAATATCTTGGAATAGCAGTTGATTGTAAATTGAATATGAGTCAGCAGTAGATGTGACTGCAAAAAAAAAAAAAAGGCAAATGCAATTTTAGGCTACATCAACAGAAGTATAATTTTCAAATCATGGAACACGGAAATATGGAACTCCACTTATTCTTCTTTGATCAGATCCTATCTCAAGTGCTGTTATCACGTCTGGATAGCATACTTTAAGATTTCAGACACTGGAACAGATTCAGGGAAGGGCAATGAGAATGATGAGGGGACTAAGTCCAGTGAAGAGAGATGGAAAGAGCTGGGAATCTTCACCCTTTAGAAAAGACGACTGAGGGAGCATATGACAGCAAGCACTCTTCAAATACTGGGAA